CTAGAATTTCAAGTCACATTTCCTGCTCTTTGAGCTCCTATACAGGTGCAAAGCAGCCACTGAAATGCAGAAACCACATGGAATGCAGGGGCCAGCAAAGCAGCAGCTGATCTCTCCAGAAGGTGACTTACTGGGCTAAGTGCAGCACATTGCTATTAAAAATGGATGGGCTTGGTTTTCAATTAGAGTCACAAAGAGTGGGAGTTGCCTTGCATGCTTTTCTTTCCAAATCAAATATTTATCAGAGGAAAACCACAGGTGTCACTGACAAGGAGAGATTAGCTGTGACTTAAAACCACACACCTGGATTGAAAAGTGGTGAGACATGCTCTGCTTACTAAGCAACCTTCAAAGTGCATGCAAATTTGCCCAGGCAAATTAGAAGCCTTTCCTTTGTTTCAAAGAAGTAGAATTTGACAGCATTAAAACTCCAAAGTGCCATTTTTCCTACAGTGCCTGGCATTAATGAAATGTTTACAGCCTAGAGCATCCAATCTTTTTGTCTCAAGTCAGCTGAGGGGGTGGCAAGAGCAGAGGCACCAATGGCAGCATCTGGTTTTTTAACAGAGTCTCATCAAAACTAGGCAAAAAGTCCTAGCATGGTGATTCTAAACCTAAAGCCGTTTTTAGTTCCCCAAAGGCAAAGGAAGTATTGCAGAAATCTGAGTCTCTGCAGTAAACTGGCATTTTGCTGCTTGGTGCTTTTCAGGGAAGTCCTTAAATCCTGGCAAGGATGTGTTCAGTTTTGTTCCCTTCAGTATTTTGGCAATTATGAGTTTATCAGGTGGGAATCCTGACGTGGGGAAGAAAAACAAAGGAGCCAAGAGTTTTGAAGATGGTTTGCTCAGTGCAACCCAAAACTTTATAAAATACTCCAGTACCAGAACTTACTGAAGTATATTTAAATCCAGAGTTCAGGTTTTCCTTTTGAAAAAGCTTCTTCATCAAGGGGACATGAAACCCAAGATCTGAACACAGAAGCTGCCCACTGGATTGTCACTGTTGCAAAGTGACAAGTAGGAAAAAGGTGATTATTTTGAGTCCTAGATTAGATCTGGCCCAAAATTCACCTGAATCCTTCCCCTGCTTCCTAGGCACAAGATTCTGAACCCATGTGCTGTGTGCATCATGCAACAAATAGCAGGTTTCTGACCTGAACTGGGAGAGCCTTTATGGAACAGGAAAGGTAAGATGGGTTCGAAAGACAGAGGCAAACAAAATCCAACCAGGCTTCCTCAAAGGAAAGGTGATTTCACACAGCTGGAGAATACAGAGAACAAATATTAGCCATATTCAGCCTCCCTCTCCCTTAATTTAACCATTTCCTTTTGCTCCCACAGGTCTCTCTCTCTCTCCCACCCCACAGTGTGACTGCTTTTGCAAAGTCTCTCCTTATTTTAAGCATTTGCCTTATGATTCTGAATCATACTGAGAAAGCTGTATTCTAGAGGAAGTCAAGGCTCCTTGATTTCAATTCTTGAATTCCACCCAAGTAGGTGCCTAAAACAACAAGCATAACTATTTGTGTCCTGGACATGAAGTTCTGGGATAATTTCATCAGGAATGAAGAAAAGGATGAGCAACTGAGTTTCATAAAGATAAAAATAATTCAATTATATTATGCCATCCTGGATATGGATTAAGGCTGACATAGGAAAGTTAAGAGTGTCTAAGTACGGAATCATTTTCTCTGAGGTGGCAAATCAGATGTTTGCTGATGAAAACAAGAATAGCACAGCTCCTTGCTGTTGCTGCTGCTGTTTCTTCACAAAGGACACAGCAGAAATCCTACCATAAGGGGCAAGGGCAATTTTAGATGTAATGCTCATCCTACCCAGAACATTGTAACCAAGTGGTGGTTTAAGGATCTATGGCAAGTTTCCTTTTCTCCATATGCTCATTAAGAAGCAAAAGAGGCCTTGTTTCTTCATGTCAGGCCACGAATTTTCCAAAAGCGACAGTAGTTACAGAACCACAATCCTCAAAGGTGTAACAGTTCAATTAGAATGACATCAAAGGCTTATGGTAACAATCCCAGCCCTTGAGGTTAATGCTTGTAACTGAATCAAGAATTTAAAAAGTCCCATTCACACTACCTAGGGCCCGTGGCTCCGGGCATTCCAGTGCATTCATGTGTTGGAACTTGTGCTTTCACCACTTAGCCACGGCTCCTCCTGCTTCCCATAGCAAGAATAAAAGCTGCTCAGAGCCGTCATTGTTCCATATTCCAGAAGAGACAGTTGCAGAGTCATTAATTACCTGTCAGTGAGTCACAGGAGCTGTGCAGCAGGGCGAGTTCCTGCACTGAAGAAAAGCTCTGAGATAACACGAAGGAGAAAAGCATTTATAAATATCTTGGGAATGGAAGCGGGGTTAAATTTAGTTGGAGATGGCAGAGCAGCAGCTCAGTTACACAACCTTTAACTCTGCAGGCAGAAAGGAGGCCAGAGCTGCCTGAGGGGCTGAGCAGGGCTCCAGAGAGAGGAAGGAAACCTGGAAGTGGTGAGAGCTGTCAACCTGCGCTTCTAAATTTATGATGGCACGGCACATCTTGAAAAGAAGAGCTGACAATTCCCATCAGCTCCACAGTAAATCCAGATTTACTCCAACACACAGGCAATGTCTCCAGGCCAGACAAAAACTGCCCCCGCTTCAGCACAAAGAGACTAACAAACAAAAAATACACTTAAATACATTTCTCCAGAGCAGGGATTCTTTCTGCTCAACAGGTTAGGAAATATGTACAATTATGGGAAGTTTTACTTCCCAGCTCAGTGCTGGGGGCCTCTCAATCCAGGTTACCTCTACAAACCTGTTCTCTGCCTCTCAATACAGGATTTAATACTGTGAAGAAATGGCAAAATGTTCAACAGCACAAGACATGGGAACAGCATCTTAAAACCTTTTTGCCCTTTAGTTCCAAGTTTGAATTTGACACTGACAAAAACCATCTCGGTTTAGGTTTTTTAGTCTTAAAGGAAAGGTTAAGCTTAAAGCTGGCAGACCCCAGATCCACAGCTTGCAGATCTTTAGGATTGTATTCTTGACAAAAAAAAAAAAAGGAGGAATCTGTGAAAACTGAATATTCCAAGAAATAAAAGTTAAAAAACAAAATCCCACAGCATTTTGGTGATGCACTAACTTAACTACCTTAACTACCTTTCCCTCCCTCACCACGAAATGCAGATGCCATAAATAACTGGAGTTGCTTGAAATGTTAACCCTAAAGCTTCTGCAAAACCACAGTACCTTTTTTAAACCATATGAAAATGCAGATGGGTTCACACTATTTAAATAAATTTGAAACCAATAGTACAAATGAACAAGCAATGACAGTGAGGGGAGAAGGGGCTGACACACAAAAAGTCACCATGACCAGGGACACCTCGCCCTGTGTTCTGGTATCAGCTCATGAAGGTTTAGATTCTGGGGCTTTGGGGGGTTTTTCTGGGGTTTATGTTTTGGTTTGTGATTGTGAGGCTTTTCTGCTTTGCTATTTTTTAAATGCACATTAGTCAGTAACTCGATTTTCATGGTTTCTCACAAAGGAAAAGAGCATGTTCATGTATATTCAGATGGCATTTAAATTATCTGGATATTTTCCACAAATTAGCCTAAGCAACATAAAAAGATACAATAAACACTGTAACAACACTTTCAAGGGATTTGTTTATTTTTGGTTTACAAACAAAGGCACCCAATATTTCTGTTTATGTCTTATAAAAGCTCACAGATTTAGCATTTGTTTCCAAACATCTGTTCCTACAGCAGAGAAAAACATTACAGGAAAATGTAATTTTTTTTTTCCTGGTCCCCGATTTAAATACCAGTAACAGTTCAGTGATAATGTTGTTTCAGTCTGTTTCTCTTCTATTTAACCAGCTCATACCCCTCTTGTAACTTGCTAGTCAAAACACTGAGTCTGCCTTCATGGACCAAAATGTAATTCCAGTATATTTCTGACCAACATCCTTCATGTGCAACCACTGGTGTGAAGAACTGCAGGACAACAGGGCTCCCATATAAAAAAACCCCAATAGTTCCAGGTAGAATTTCACAGACTGACCACAGGGAGTGACAAAACCAGCAGAATTGATGTGACACTGAATATATTGTCAGTTCAATAGGGTGATTGATGAATTGGTGTAAAATACCAATAGGGCACAGAACAACAGTCTCCAAAGAAGGGAAAAAAATGGGTTTCTAAATTGGCAAATGTTAGTGTAGAGGTTAAATAAGCTTAGGCTTAAAGTAATCCCTCTCTTTGTTATTTATCCAAAAGACTAAATTTCTAAGCAGTGTCTTGGACCAGAAGTAATGGGTTCATTGGCTTCATAGTTTCTCTCGGTATTAACAAATCAACGTTGGATGTATCATGTTCATAGGTTATGTTTATAGTTAGAAACAATAAATGCCTACGTGGATTGTTTACAGAGTAACTTTCAGAGTAGGATGTATTGTCTTCAGCAAACTTCAGCCACGTGCCAGCAGGGGAGCAGTGGTGCCACTGGTCATGGAGGGATGGCAGTGGCCATTATGCCCCTCTGAATAAAATCTGTAATTCAGGAATGCTTCAGCATACTTTCAGGTCTAGGGAGACACTTGGGGAGGCAGCTAAAAATGTCATACACCTACTGCAGCTGTTAAAGTGTTAACACCTCCAAGCACAGAAGCCTTAATTGATTTCAGCCACAGTCAGAGGTCTCTCACACAAGGTGTGGTCCTGGACCATTTAGACCATTTTCATCACTAGCTTTATATATACACCAGTAATTTTAAAAAGGAATTACACCTTAACTACTTACTACAGAATATTTAGCTTCAACAAGGAAGCCATTATCTTTTCAAAATGAGATATACACCTGCAGGAAAGGTGTTCTCTTTAAAGTAAGAGTTTTTAGAAGAATAGCAAAATAAGTTCTTTACAAATTTAATTCAATAGGACAAAAAACTACCAAGGGCAAGTATAATGTAGTTCTTGTGTAATTATTTGCCTTTGCAGGCAGATTCAAGAACAAATTCATCAGTACAAACTGATTTGAATGAACAAACACTGGGCAAGGGTGCTGGTCAGTGCATGAATTAGAGGAACACTACAGTGCTCTCACATCTGTGCAACCAAAATTTCAAGGGATCTTCATGTATTGCCTTGGATTGAAGAAACAAGGATTCGAGCTTTTCTTACAACTTCCCATTTTTACAGATGCCTTCCTTACTCAAACAGAGGAACATGCAGAAAAAACACCCCATATTTCTTCAGGTTTAAACCTAATAATTTAAGTTAAAAGATCAATGGAAGAACTGTTAACATCTATTCATTTTGGAGCAAGGTGCATCTTACTCTGCTTGCCCAGTGAAATGAGGTTTTACTAGGGCAGGGTTGAGAAAGTGTGCTTGTGCATTGGTGTTGCCCATGCATCAAATTTAACAGCTCAGAGATTTTGAAAAATATACTAATTCTTGAAGTATTTGCTAACATTGCTTACAGCCAGAAAACAGGTCTATCTCTTAATGAAAGTCTGCAGCTTGTCCAGCTACCATTACCAGCAATATAAATAGCAACCAAGCATAATAAATTCCTTTTTGTAACATTTACCCTTTCAAGTCAGAAGAAGTGCTGGCTCTGTATTCTCAAAAAAAAAAAAATTATTAAAAAGAAGACAGTCAATGACTTTATTTGCCCCTCTCTGGGTAACACTTCCTTTTATCTGCTCAATGCAAGGATCAATTTTGCTTTCAGAATAGCAAATTGTTCATGCTGACACAAATGCAAAGTGGACACAGCCAGGTTCGAGCACAGAACCCAATCACAAAGTGCATTCTGAAGCCCAGATATACAGAAGGCCCTTCAGTAAATAAGGAAGATTGGTTCATTTTTTAATTTATTTTTTCTTTTAAAGCCAAGGAGGCACCATTGTCGCATCCCTACTTTGAGGGGAAAGGAAGAAGTGGCAAAACCTAAAGACAAATAACAAAACTTCTCAATTGTTTTATTTTAGGAGATCCAGAGTCATTTGTACACTTTTTGCAACTTGCAAAACCCTTTGTAATTTAGAAGAATTTCAAATAAATAGATCTACAGCAACTACTATCTACTATGCCAATATTTATCTTGCTCAATGTGGAGTAAAACTTAAAAGAAAAAGAATCATGTTAAGGCAGATTCCGATCAAACATGTTCCAAATTGCACAGTTATGTTGGTCAGTGGTCTAATATCAGGTCAAAGAGTTAAAGGTATCTAAATGCTTTTCTAAGCCAATTCAGTGTGGCACTTGCCCTTTTGATTTGCTCCATTTCCAGGAAGATACACAGCTAACATTACAAATACCATACTGCTTATTTCTCACTTCAATTAAAAATGAAATTATGCTTCACGAAATGTGAGATGACTACATGGTACAGGGTTTGTGCAGTTAGACCACCATATGCATAGATGTCCTAATGCTAAATCCTCTTCCTCAGTATCTCATGGTACTGGAGGCTCTGAAGTAGGAGAGGAACTTGTAACACAGGCTGACCACAAAGTACCAGATGTTTCTTGCCATCTGTGACCTGGCGATGAAGATGCGCCAGATGAGGATCACGAGAATCGTGTTGAAGCCGTAGCGAATGTTCCTTAACCTGGGGACAAACAAAAGCCATCACTGAGGGCCAACAAATACACAGACTCTGAGGAAAAAAGAACACTCTAAAAATTCTGGTGTGTGAACAGCATTTGTTCATCTCAAGGCACGTTATGAGTAATGAGAAAAGCGAGTAACAGAAAAGCAAGCAGAGCCCTGTCGCTCACCACAAGCATTTCTGCTTCAGAGCTGCTTGGTGGAAACCTCCTGAAGCCAACATCACAGTGCTAACTTACCTACAGAAGGCTGCCAACCAAAAAATATTTCACACTCTGAACCTCCCTTCTCCCCAAAAACTTCTTAAATACGTAGAAGTAACTCCAACTGCCACTGATGGCAATAACAAGGGAAAAAACCAAACCTCACCCCATCAGATAAGAAGAACTCATCAGATTTTCCAGACATTTCCAGCCAAGGAACCCAGGCTCTTCACTGCAATTTTAAACTCCTTCCTTCTCAAGGAACTATATTTAAAGTGTAGGGTCAACTAAGTGACCTTCTAGAGCAACTGTGCTTTTTATCAATCTTCTTGCATGTAGAGATGGAAGCTTTGAGAACAACAGCAACCAGAATTTGCTCAGATTTCTTAGAACAATCTCTTTGGCTCAGTAGATTGTGACAATTTCTATTTTAAAGGCAGCTCTTTTTAGGGAAATACTGCCTTTATCTTGTTTACAGGCAAGGCTGGGTTCCTTTACAGATCTTATTTGCAAAGAAAAAGTTTAAATGTGTGTGTTACAAAAGCAACACTTTTCCACTTGAAGAACAAATGTACCCAGTGGTTCCCTAGAGAAAAATGCCCTTTGGGCTGCCAAATCTGGTTAATACTAAGGCAGTGGACTCCAAGATTAGAGTTAAGAACCAGATGGTAACAGAAGAGACCAAATGAATACCTCAGAGTAAATCTAAGTCAGAATCTCAACCTCTTGCTAAACAATCCACTTACAAACTTTAGAGCTGGGGGCAACCAGAAGCTGCTCCAATACAAGATTATGTCCTGTGTCATTTTCACAACGATCATTTGCACAAAGAATAGCAACTATGTGATCATTTCTACACACTTTTTAATGGCATCTAAATGAAAATTTAAAAAAACAGCCAAACAAAACAACACAGAAGGGACACTTATTTAGCTATATCCACAATTACCAGACACTATCTTTCAAAAGTGTATTTGCTGTTCTAAGGTACACCAAACCCCTCCACAGCTGCCAATCCTTGTCTTTAGAAAGAAAACACAAGTCACAACCAGGATTGTTTCTCTTTGTGCTATCAGGACTGCAGATGTGATCTAGCATTGCAGAACAAGATGATTTTTACTTCACTCTTAAAAGAGACAAATCAGAAAGTCTACAGCTGCCTTGATGAATAAGCCAAGAACAGAACAAGGGCAACTGTGCTAATAAAATTCTGGACAGTCCCAATCCATCCAAATGGCAGGAATTAATCCACAGAGAAAAGGCTAAAGGAGGTCACCCTAGGGCACCAAAGTGTCTGCCTGTTTATTCATTTGCCTCAAAAGATCACATTCCCAGAGCAGCTGTTGTTCTATTGAATCTGCCCAAGAAGCCATTCTGACCTGTGTAACCACCGACCTGTGACCTCCCAAAAGATATTTGGGTAAAATCAAACACCTGGATTACAGAATCCACACCAGTGATCCCAGACTGATACTCTAACTATTAATTCTGGGAGCAACCCTGGAGCAACAAATGTGTTTTAGAAAATGCTTCAGACCACTGGACTGGAACAGAAGAATTGTGGAGAACCTGAACAGTTGTAATTAAGAATAATTAAGTTATTACATGGAAAAGCAAACCTGGACAAATGCGGGGCACAGAAAATATGAATTTATACTTAAAATAATAAAAAAAAAAGATACTTACTTATTTAAGTGTTTCCTAGCTGCAGGGAGGCCTGACATTTCTTCATTCAGCACATATTTCTTGGTTCCCAGGCAGTAATTTTCCATATATTCTGCCCAGTGTAGTTGTCGAACATCAAAATTAAATGTCTGCATAAGAGAAAAGCTTCTACTGTTAGTCGCCTAAAAATTCACCTCTACATAATTTAAATGAAAATAAATGTCTTTATTCCAGATAAATCCAATTTGGCTTTGACACAAGAAAGTTATCCTATCCTTAATCCTAGAAACAGTCCAGATTTAGGCTCCATTTCTGATTTAACCACTGGCTTCTGGCATCATCTCTTCCAAATTTTAATCACTCCATGCTTTACTTTCCCTCCTCAGCAGTTCCCTCCTCTTCTCAGTTTTCCCATTTCAACTGCCTGTAAGGAATTCCATTCTGAAAATAACTATTTTCTAGTATGTTATTTATTTTTAAACAACCAGGTAATTCTAATGTGCTCTAAAATAAACACTGCTCTGTGCCAAGTTCACAATTTGGTAAGTGCAGGGTTCTGCTAACTGTGTTTAGAGTTATACAGTTGTATTTTAAATACAACCCTCTGAGTACCTTCTGCAGGGGAGAAGATCACTATGATGAATTTGATACACAAGTTTTTTACTGATGTATTGATTTCTTCATCTCAAGATTCTACAGTACCAGTGTTTAAATCCCAACAAAATGCAGCAATTTGAAAATATCAACACTTCAAAGCTCTGGTGTTGGGCATTTTGCTTTCCAAATTTTTCCTGAATTCAAGTTGCTTGAAGAAGGCAAGAGGACAGGAAGGGGTGGAAATACCATCCACACAGAAATCACCAAATGCTATTTTACTTCCTACTTTTAGACAGCTTATTTAGAAATTTGGCATATTTTCTGGAATGTAACTACTGAACTGATTCTGGAAAACACTTCAGCAGCAAAGACATCTTCAGAATGGCAAAACTGTTCCAAAGGCATAAGGGAATCTGAGTTTTTAGAATTGTAACTGCTGATTTCTATTCTGCTGAATATTTACCAACAAAGCCATAGCAGAAGGCAAGTTTCAATTCAATTGGGGCACCTGAGCCATTGCTGGTGGAGGAGGCAGGGAAAATTAGGAGTAAAGTTAAACCTGGGAAGAAACAACTTTTCCTTCTCCCTCAACAACCTGCAATCCTTGTTTCACTTCTCCCTGCCCTTGCTCATCTCCTCAGGTCACTGATGGAGCTTTTCACACATCTGACAGGACCTCCCAGGACCCTGCAGTGCTCAGTTCCTCCTAGCTCAGCTGCACATTAGGTCAGGTCCTTATTTAATCCTGGGCTGCTGAGCTGCCACCCCCTCTCAGTGTCCATGGCCACTTGCCTTTTTGTCTTCAGGGGTCAGCTGGTTCATCAGCATGGTCATGTTCTCAGTGCTCCAGGTCCAAGAATTGCTTGTAAAGTACTCTAAAAACATCATGGACTTATGAAGACGTGTTATTGTCTTCATCATCCTGCAATCCGAGGCATGGAATGGACAGGTTACAGGGGGAAAGATTGCTTCAAACAAGTCAAACAGACAAGAAGATTTTTTTACCCTCCTGCCCCCTCACCCCCATCTCAAAAAAATCCCATCTTGCTCTGTACCTAAAGCATATTGTATTACATCAATAGGATATTTCTGCATAGTATTGAAGTGAGCTTTGGCTGTCCATTCTCTGCATAGAACCAGAAATTATCACAGTCCTTTTTTTTCCTAATCCTACTTCCCAGTGCAATTGTAAATGACCATTTCTTCTTTTTTTTAGGGGGAACGATATGTTGTCTTCTGTTGGTAACTCTTAGTTTGGCACAGGGAGGTGGAACCCTTTTCCCTTTAACATACTGGAATATTTAGCTGTACTCAGGAGTGTGACTTGACAGAAGTCTCAAATTGCACAGAGCAGAATGGCAGTGCAGGATCTCCCCTTAAACAAGGGAGGAAGTTGCCCTGATCTGCCTGCACATTGTGCAAGCCCAGATCTCTGTAACAGAACAGAGGTTTTCATCATGGTTACTGACAGCTCAGGCCTTAAAACCACCAGCAGCAAAATTTTAAAGGGCACAGACATATCATGTTCAACACTACTTCAAAATATGCAGAAATACCTTCCATCATCCTTTATTATCCAGAGGAAAAAAACTATAAAATCATCATTTGGAATACAGAGAAATTATGTTATAAGGATCAATTTGGGCAAGTTGCTCTTTGATCATACCATCTGAAGTGGCCCAAAAAAAGAGTGAGAGTCATTCAGCCTCTCACATGCAAAGCTTCCACATTTATGACAAGAAAATTGTTTCAAGTGTCTCAGTGTTAGAGATGGCCACTCAATTTGAAAAAGTGCTAACAAGTACCACAGAGCCTAAGGCTCTTAAATTCCTGCTTTGGGTGCTCAAGGTATTTCCATCTCACAGGAATGGAAAACTGCTTCCAGTTTGATCCTTATAGCAAGACAGTGATCATTTCAAGCACAATTGTAAGGGGGGAGGGAGGCAAAGAAAGCAGAACCCAGTACTAACAGGAAATGGTTTTCTGAAGGTAAATTTTGCCAACAAAGATCAGAGAAGCAATAAAAACAAACTTATTTTTCTCTGAAAGCTGCCTTGATGCATTCATACTTGTAGAAGGGATATAGCACATTGTCCCAGAAACTCTTCTAAAGAAAATATTTTGCACTGCATTAGTGTCCCTTACTGTCACTAGCAGATGGTATCTCAGTATCTAAAACGTTAAAATTTCTTCTTTTTCTTCTCATGGAATGGAGCAACACAAACCACACAGATCACTGAAAAATGTAATCTCTAAAGCACAAAACGCATAAATAATTTTTTTTAAACCTCATAGGAATACATCTACTAATTCAGAACTGACTTCAAATGTTAGACCACCAGCTGATTTTACTACTAAGCACCTCCAGGAGCTTTCAAACACCTGCTTAGAGTTTCACCAGCTGGGCAAGGTGGCACCAGTGGGGGCTGAGTTGGAGCTCCTGATGCAGAAATAATTGGGAATATAGACTCTGCAGCCAAAACATATCCTGTGCAACCCAGACTAAACCGAATGGAAAAACAGGGATGTTAGTTATATCAAAAAAATAGGAAAATAACTCAAAACTTGGAAAGCAAAGAGCTCACTGGTCAGATAAGCCAAAAAGACCTCAGAGCTAGAAGGCCTGGAAAAAATCTGTGCCAAACAGTGTTTAAGCCTTTTTGCAGAGCTCTGTCCACTGACTGTCTGAAGATTATTTAACCTTACTTGCCCTTTTGAACCTTCCCAGTCTGTGTCCTTATGCTAAGCTGGACCAGCAGCTGAATTTTAGAGTGCTTTGACTGCTACAGTTTAAAAACCTTGTGCCTCTGCTAAATACTAACTGAGCAAATGAATACCTGACTAGATAAGTGTATATTTTGAATTTGTTTCTAGACACTGACATTGGTTTTCATTCTTTTCTTAAAAAAAAACAAACTAAATTTAAACTAATGCAAAGACTCTGCTGGGATTCTTTTTGTGTCTGTTCATGGATATGATTTTAGAGCTTAGCTAAGCTGATTACAGAAGAAAAAAAAAAAAAAAAGGCTTAAGAGAGGGGATTTTTTTCCCCCCTCCCTCCCTCCAACTCAAATTGGATTTAGCAACTGACCACAGAACCAGCTGATTCAACTCATCAAGGAAAAAATTGTTTTTCTTTGTAGGGTTAGTTTCTTTCTCTACCAGCCCAAAGAATCCAATTCTCCACATTATCTCAGCTGCCCAATCATGACAGGGTTGGCAGAAGTGGACCAAGTTTCTCTATGACACCTTGCTGGTTTGCACAAAATCAACAGGAAACTACATTTCTGTTTGAGGGGAGGAAAAAGCAGCGTGGTGACATTGAGAGATGCCAACAATGAGTGTCCTTAAGTGGACATTTGTACAGCTCTGGCAGACTAAGCTTTCACTTCAATGGCACCAATATTCCTCCTGTGAATGGCAGCACACACCTGAAAACCCAGCAAAAAACCACACAATGGAACTTCACCCCTCAACGTGAAGTTCTGAAGGTTGGTTATTCCAAAGACAGCCACTGGATACAGGTCATAAATATCAAAGCCAGCCAGTACAAGACCAAACATTGCATCACAGCTTCTTCCTCAGCTGCAGACAGAAAAAAGCCAGCCCTGATGACCAGCTCACAGAAATGAGCATTAGCAGCAGGCAGCCAGTCTGGGTGACTTTCACCCAGATCCAAGGCAGAATTTTGCCTCCTGTTTTTGCTTTACTGCCATCAAGACCAAGCACATTACAACAGTTTGAGAAGCACATCACAGGAATTCAAGCTGAAGCAAGTTAATCCAATTATCCATAAGTTAGGTGGGCTTGTTTCTGTACCAGACAATTGAGAGTGACCTGGCTTAGGGACACAACTGCAATTTGAAGAAGTCTTACACACAACCTGTTGTCTCCAGGTTAAAAACAGCCCTGGTGCCAAATACAAACTGACCCCTCAGTGGATCTACAGGCTGCCAGTCTGCAAGGCTCTGCAGCAGCATTACAGGTAATTATTTTTTTATAAAGACTCCTCTAAAAAAAATAGAACAAGCTTTTAGATTTGTCTTTGTTCATATTTTCACCTGTGAAATGTGAACTGTAAGACACACTACTGAATTCTTATCTTTGCAGCAGCTCTGTGGTTGCTTTAAGCACACAATTTAAGCACTGGGAAGAGAAATGTATTACCTATTTAACATGATTATGCTCCTGACTCATTTGTGGTTGGTAAAACAGTAACTACACAAAAGGTGCTTCCAGTTTTAGGAAGCTTTAGATTGAAATGACACATGTAAAAGACCTAATTTCACACCTTCCTCCATACATCAGCCACACCTTTCCTTTAGCTTTCTAAGAGGCAGGAACAGAAGAATTGCTGCAGAAACCTGTGAACTACAACTTTAAATATTTCATGTCACATGCTATTTTCTGAGAGCAACTGGGAAGATCTGCTTGGTGTGCATTTTTAAAGGCTTTATCATTTCAAATATACCAAACTGCTTTTAAATAACACACGGTTCTGTCGTGCTAAGCACTATGCAAAGTTACAGGAGCAAACTAGGCCTTATATTAAAGATAATTAGACAACTAATAAGCTTTGCTATGCAACTAAGTATACAGCAAGCTACCAACACTACCTTTAAACTTCGATGCTCAGGTTTATCACCACTATTTACATAACTGCACAATGCTAGAGCATTTTTTACTATAAAATATTAAGCCAGTCTTTTTTGTACATGTTCTTTCTATACAAATTTGGAAGAAATATTATATAGGTTATTTCTTCCTTCCCTTTCCTTACCTTTTAATATTATCAGAGAATCGTTAAATTCAAGAACCTTCAACTAGATGCAAAAACAGCAAAAAGATTTCCATTTCATCAAAAACATTGCTTCCACAAGTGAGGTGCATAAGAATGACTTCACATTGCAGAAAGATTAAAATAGATAAGTGCTTTGAAAATAAGAAGATTTTTGGTTTTAATTTTTATTACTATTAACATAATCATTTAGTTCTGAAGGATCACAGACCTGATGTGTTTCTAGTTTCTTCCTTCTACTTGATAAAAATTTTCATTCAACTGCACATTATCCTACTGCATTGTACAATATCCTAATGGTATGAGAGGAGTGCAGTTAAACCTGCACAGTGATTTCATTACTTATTTTTTTGCACTGTACAAAATAGAGACTTCAGTGTACTTAGCACAGAGAGGGCAAGCACCCACTCATATAAAGGCAGGTTAGCAGAATATTTGCATTCCTTGTGCTGATTTTATTATATTATTATACTGTTGCTCTGCTAAATCACAGTGGAAAAGGTCAGATTTTTAATGAAGCCAGTCCTTCTTCACTCAGAACAGCATTACATTGAGTTTAAGAATATCCAATAGTGTTTCCAAGCCTTTAGAAGTTTCTGAGTACATGCTACCTGGTAATTAAAACCACTATCAACAGACAGAATGACCACAGCAACATCAGAACACCCCTCCAGCCCTGCAGCTAAAGCAGCTTCAAAGTACCAGAAAAAAGTGCAAGAGTAAAGATCTGTCCCAAAATTCTTGTATTATTAAACAACACTAGCTAGTTCCATTAGGATTTAACACTGCACATCTTCCTCACATCCAGGTATTCATTTGCTTTTACTGCTTCTGTTGCAGGCTCACATGTTTAAATGCTTTAAAACAAAAAGAGAGGAGTGCTGTCTAATGAAAGCTGCATTCCTGTAAGTGGGCTATGCAGCCAACTTAAAAGCTGTGACTGAGCAATAGCTTGGTTTAGTTCAATCTGCCATCTCTTCTCCAAACTGGAATTTGTGCATCATAGGAAACTCATCCAACCACTGTTATAGCAAGCTAAGTAGGAATATTCATATCAGTGAAAATTTATTTTCTATTCTGTAAAGTATTAATGTCACCAATTGTACCAACAGTGATGAAAGTCCTAAATACCATCTTTAGACATCAAGTCAGAACTCTGGGAAAAGCAAAAACAGGATTCAACGCTCCCAGAGTTAGAATATAAAACTAAGCTAAATATTCTAAACAACATGATTATTCACAGCCTCATTTTACTCCCACTGGTCAAATACTCAGCAGAGCAGCTGCCTTTCAAAGCCTGACAAGATTCTGGCAGCAGTCCTTCCCAACTATGCACAAGACAGGACATCAGCATTTATAGCATAACTATTTTAGTAAGGGATGAAGTTTTCATATCTGTCAGGGAATTTCTATCAATTTTTTAAAAAGTAACTTGAAAAATGCAAGAGAGCCTAGAAGCTAAGATATTTTATGTACAATACTTTCTTTAGAGTTGAAATTCTCAAAACTTTTTTATGTGGGAAGATAATTATACAGGCACGGGCTGCCACTGCTCTAAGTATGACACTTGCAGCTGAGAGGTTTTCCCCTACCAACCATTTACACAGCTCCTTTCTACTCATCCAGTGCTGTGTTACAGAGCTTTCACCCTCCTTGTACAACAGACCTAGGCTACAGGACAGCAGATGAATACTCACTTGTGTTAATATACTGTCACCACAGTAGAGGTTCTATAGTTTGAAGGCAAATGCTTGTGAAAATGTAACATAAGCAAAGAGTTAAGGTCATATGGCTTGGCAAATCTGAAACAAATTGAAGTGGTACCTTATATTCCTTCTACATGGTTTAGTTCAGCCTGTTGTTTTCACCACTTTAGTTAGCCAAATGCTAGCCTGAATATTATAAACTGAATGGAATGTTGAGATGATACAAACCAACGTAGCAGGTCAAATTGTATCATCTCTGGGAATCATCTGCAATTAAAAGCTCATTCCCCCATTCCATTTTCAGTTTATAAAAGCAACAACAACTTTAATACAACCCACTTCCTAGAGTTTAATGACAGACTAGGACTCTGATCCAAGACATGCCTTGGAAAGCATTGCCAGGCCATTCATGGCCATTAATGCCGTTGCTCGAGTCATTAAACTCTCCAAGACACAGCCACTGGATTCTTATTAGTTAGTAAACCTAGACAGTACCCAGGCCATGTCTTTTTTACAAGTGTCCACCACCTTATGGACAAGATATTTTTAGCCCTGTCCCTCTTACCATAATTTCCGACCTGTCAATATGAGCAAAACATCACAGCAAGCAGCCACTGTGAGGGCCTCTGCATACCGACAGCGCAGCAAGAGGGGGCTGTTGGAGAACACAAACCCAGGGATTCTTGCTACACTGGTTAATGGATATTTCTTGTAACACTTATTCAAATAGTATTCTGTAGGAAATACAAGGATCAACACGTTTTTAGCATTTATTATCCAAGAACAAACAGCACTTGTTCTATATCTTTTCATTTTCTTTACCTTGACTGCTCAAACCTTTAAACTATCCAACAAAGAAACATTCTCATTTTTGCTAGAAAGTTCAAAATCACTTTGAATTCGAGGATCTGTTCTCAGGAAAAAAAGGTTGTGTTTTAGTCACAAAACATTCAGGGAAAGAAAAAATACAAAAAAAAAAACCACCCAAAAAAACCCCCAACAAATCAAAAACCAACACACATCACATAGCTTTGTTTAAAAGTCAAAGGAACAAACAAGGCAGAGCCAGTCACCATTACCTTGGGCTTCTTCCAGTAATCCTGAGGTAGGTATCATACAGGAATGCTGGGGCCTTATGGCTGACAGCAATCCAGTAATGATATAAAAGGTGATTGGAAGTTAGATTTACATTGGGCCGTCTGAAGGCCTGCTCGAGAGGGTTCCTCTTGAAAGTGGAAATTACATGGTATTCTGAGAAAGAGAAGTTGCACAACAGCTTCGATAATCACCATGTAAAATGTAATGTTTCTCAAAGCACATTACAGGGTACAGCACCAACAGCAGTGTCTCATTTAAATAACCACCCAAACTCTTCTACAAGGCACAGAAATGAAAACAGTTACAAGCTTTTAACTCAAAATACTCCTGAACTGGTTCTTACTATAATCAAGAGGTGGTTTATGCCTTCAGTGCCATATTTTATTGTAGCTTCTCTCTTTCTGTTCCTGTTCCCTACCCTAGAAGTTGGTGGTTTCAAACACTGACAGCGATTTCAGTTTATAAAGTGTGTAAAGCTATTTAAATAGTCATCTATATTTCATGAAGAGGGTTATTCTGATCGCTTGTGTGAAGAATTTTAAAACAGATTGAGGACTCTGCAGTCATTTAAAATCGCTTCAGATGACATTTTCAACGAATTTATCCAAATTTAGGCATTAAGAAAAAAGAAATTAGGATGGGACTGCATGAGAAATTATTGGTGACACCTGTAAATTCAGTACATAGCAGATATTGCAGGATCAGGGTCTTTAAAAGTTATGTGGAAATTCACCTCTCCTGTTAATTTTCTCCTATAACTTTATGCTATTGTTTATAGACAGCACTTAAATACCCTGATTCAAACTGGGGTATAAGTGAAGCCAGCAATTTTACATGTTTAATTGAAGCAATAATGTTTGCAACTACAGATCCATGTAAAATCGGAAAAAGCAAGTAAAGTAGATTTAAGTATTGAGGTTAACTGAAAGAAAAAAGTAATCTGAGCTTCAGAACTCAATTTCTAAAAACACTGAAGGCTAACAAACAGCCAAACAGCTTGCACTGTTTTTATAACATAAACTATTACAAAGCTGTTGGCCTGTGGGTTACATCCTAGTCAGGATATCATATTTCCTTACAGGTTACTCTTCCCTGTAGATGAATTGTTGAAGTGACATGCAACAATCTGAATATTAAAAAAGCCACCTCAAACAACAATCAACTTAAGCCAAACACAAAGAGCTACACAAGGATAAAATTATGACCAGACCTCTCAGTTATGCAGGTGTACAAAACATTTAATTGTGGGCTGCTTATGCATATGTTTTTGTCACATGTATTTATTGTCATTGGCATTACACCCAGCATCACTACTGCTCCTCTGAGCAACACTTCCCTCCACACACTGTGGATTAGGTCATGGCAGCAGCAAACTGAATAATCAGTTCTCCCATAGTTTAAGTTATAATGGATAAAGAGTAAAAAAAAAAAAAAATACCAAAATGCCAATAAGAATGGAGGTAATGCTGCAGGGGGACAGGGAGAGAATTAACAGGGGAAGCTAATGAGAAAGCACAATTCACTGCAAAATTGAGAGGTATGGCTAAAATACCAGTTTCAAAAATAGAAATGCATTATGGTTTACTGATAGGTTTATAACCTGCTTGGTTGTTCGGTTTTTGGTTTTTTTTTTGTATTAAGGCTAATGAGAAAAAAGAAACATGGCATACCAACTTCACTCCAGTGGAAAGGATTGGTGCCACCTGTTGTACAGTTATACACCATGACTTTTCTTGGTCTGAGAGGAAAAGAGGTAAAAGAGCCAGTTAGAAGAAAAGCAACCTTTTAAAAACACAGACTACAGAAGAGATGCCCAAAGTTATCCTTTCCCTCAACAGCATCATTTATATCAAGCAGAAACATCAGTCTCATGGTCGATTTTTTTTTTGCTATAGCATCTTTCAGTATTTTCTTTCTTCTTTAATTATCCTATTTCTTTTATTTCAGAGAAGGCATCACCTACACTACTGCAGGTTATATTGATTATATCTTCTCTGCAGGAGAAGATTTTCAGACATAGCTTCATAATTCCAGTAGGAGATGTCTTCCTCTGGCATAAGCAAGTTACACTTGGAGAGACTAATGCTGTCAGAACCTTATATTCCTCTGTCCTGAGGGAACAGCAGGACACTGATGAGGATTTCAATACAAGACTCGTTTACTAAATACACAATACCATTTCCAAATATTCAGTACTCTCTTCTGTCACTATTTATACCTGTTAATTGCAGAATACCAGGCTGCAGCGAGTGTTGTATTGACAACAACATCTATTGGGACAAGATCTGCTACTGCATTGTTGGAAGCTCTCATTGTTCGAAGAATTCCTTTTCCTGCCTTGAAGAACAAAACAGAGACAGAAGAGCCAGAAGTAAAACAGATGAAGCTTTTCTGCCTTCCAAAAGGAGGGGGGAAATGAAGTACATTCATTACTTACAGCAATGAAGATACCACTAGGTCCATTGAAGTTATCAATCCAGCCCTATTAGGAACAGGGAGAGGGAAAGGATTTGGTTAGAGTATACTGAAATCAGCAGCTTCAAGTGAAAATCTGAGCAGTTTCTACATGTGTAAGGGTTGGAAGAAAAGGAGACCAAAGAGAAGAAAGATTTTTAATTCCATGTCGCTAAATAAAGTTCTTCCATAGCAAATTTTGGTGAGGTAACAAGTTCCTATGACTCAGACAACACCTACGTGTAGGACACCATGGTCCTTCAGAGATGCTTATTTATTTCTTAGTGAATGAATTGCAATTGTCCATAAAAATGTTTATGTTCCAAGTATTCAAGTTTACAAGTACTTTTAGGCTAGTAACTCAGGTTTTTTTCATTTATCAACCAAAATACATTCTGGCTCAGGTTTGATGACAGTATTTAGATACTGTATGCCGTTCTCAGTCATCCAGAAGCAACCAAGACACAGCTTCATGGTCCAAGAGATTTTCCTCCATTGAAGTCACTGGATAAAGAGGCTCCCAGTGTGAACTACACTCTACAGCAAGCTGGCCAGGTGACAACTCGGGGACTTACAGGAAAAGGCTCCTTCCAGCTGGCACCAATGATGGACGGCCTTACAATGGCAATGTTCAACTTTGCACCTTCCTGCTGCACCACGGATTCAGCTAAGGCTTTCGTGTACGTGTAAGTATTAGGTCTCTTGCCTAACAGCTTAGGAGTAATATCATTCACTAGGTCATCATCCATCCACCTAAAGGAACAAAACAAGAAGCAAGTGTAAATTACTGCATGCTGCTTCACTGGGGAGGTGGGCTGTGAAATGGTGAAGCTGCCGTGATGTTTTTTTTCCTCATTTAAAGAAAAAGGGACACACACCTAAACAAGTTTCTCAGAAAAACAGAGGATTGCACGTTCAGTGTCCATCAAATGAAGCATACTGGCATTTATTTTTTGCCCTGGCAATTCATTTATAACACATCAACTACAGAGCAAGCAGTACTCTCATTTACAATAACCCAAATTCTGCCAACCAAGTTCTCAAAGATGGAGTGCAGACACAGCACATTAGTCTTTGGAACACAGGCTCACTGCATTATGATCTACAAAGTGATACCACTGCAGTGGAGTCCCAGCTGCATTACCAGCATCCCCTCCACCTTTGTGGTGGTGAGCCATCACACACCACCCCTGAAGCAAGCTGGTCAGTGTTTCTCCCTTTAAATTAGTTAAATCTCACTATTCCATCTTGTTTCCCAGTTCATATTAAAAATATAATAACCTTCAGTCATAGCTCACAAGTAAGAAAGATGTGCCTGTGCAACCATTGCTACTTTGGTGTTCTTCACTGCAAAACAGGACTTGAATTTTATTTGCCTTGGCCTCTTAGTCACAGAAATGGAATTTATTGTTTTTCAATGTCACGTTACAAAGTAGACACACATCAGGCTCCTTTCATGACATGAACAGGGTAGGAAGAGGAGTAGTGGAGGCTAGAGATCACTCTTTTATAATTTTACAAAAGTCTTCCCTCAGGAGTTCTAAAGTACACACAGTTGTCCTTGCCCACACCGAACAGTTTAAGTTACATTTGTCTCTTCACAAGTTAGATATTCAAAAATACGACTGTTTTGGAATTTCTCATTTTAAGTGTATTTAAAGTCAACATTATGAAAAAGGCTGGCTCAATGTGCATTCTAGGTGGTAGCTCATTTGGTTTTAATGTTAGCATTCTTCCACCTAAAATAACAAGTAGATTTTTACTTTTTAATTAGTTCTTTTCAGTTTTGTACTTCTCTTCCAAGAGGTGATATTTTGTGTAAGGTAAGAAGGAAGAGACTGATGTAGTTACATTACACTAATCCCACATCATCGCCTGTTTCAGAGTTTGACAGCTGCTAAGACCTCAGAACAGTTAATATACACAGCAAATAAAACACCAGATGAGTCATTTTTCCTACCTGTAATGCCCAATTCAGGACTTAAAGCTACAGAAAACAGATTTTTAATGTCTGGGCTCTCAGGTACAGAACCACTTCTAAAGTAAGTAATATTATTTAAGCATCTCAGTCTCATCTTGCAATGGCATTTAGGTGGATGTAGAAGAGGCAGCTGTTGAAGGCACCTTAGTTTTATCCTTTCCTTCCCAGTGCTGGTAGCAGCACAAGTTACCAGTATGTCCTGGCTCAGCTAATCATAGAGCTGGAAGGCTGGCACTCAGCACAGAGAGGCCATCATCAGCAGATAGGAGCATCCCTCTCCTTCAGTTCCCCTCCACACCCAGCCCAGCTTAAAGCAACCATAAACCTTAACCCATCTCCCCTACAGAACAGGGGAGTGCCAGCCATGCTGTCAGACCTATGGGACAGCCTAAGATAACTCTTCATCTTTGCAGCTCCAAACTGGTTGTTGGTACTCCAACAGCAGGAAGGAAAGGGATACAGATCACTCAAGTAAATTCACAAAACATAACACATACTCAAGGGAATCTATCAGCTTCTTGGGATCCACAGGAGGTGGGTACACGACTTCCTCAATCTGTTTCCGATTGCAGTATGCATAGGCAGTGGAAACGTGCATGAACACCTCCAGATTCTTCATTTGCTGTGCCAAGGACAGGAGCTGCTGTGTGGCAACCACATTTAACTGCACAGCATCCCTATTGATTCAACAGAAATGTCATTAGTACAAAGCAAGACAAAAACAAGCAAAAAGAAATTCATTCCTAAAATGCCTCAGCGCTGGGTATATAAAGTATCCCTGAATTCTCCACCCTACCCCAAAAAAGCAGCATGGACACTGCCTCAATTTTCTGCTTAGAATAACATACCATAGTCCTAATCCAGAGCACCTCTCAACGTTCAGGATAATTCTCCTTGTACCCTTTTCTTACCAGCATCCTTTGATTTCCTCAATCTAAATCCCAATCATATGCTTTCCATAAAACATGAAGGAAATAATGCAACACAACACCAAGCTTCCATAAGATGCACTTCTGAACTTCCAAGTTCAAGCTGAGTTAGCTGGAGACTGGCATCTATACTTGTAGGACAGAAAAAGGCTCCATACAGGATGGAAGGAAGGGGGGAAGAAAAGGCAAACCACCAAGAACCACTGCAGCTTCACAGCTGCCCATTACTGTGTTTGAGGACACTAGGGCAGAGGAGGTGTATCTCTACAGTTCTCAGCAGATAGCAGCTTGCTGACCAATCCTATGATTATTTTATAGTTTAGATCTTCTCTCCAGCCTACAGACTTGCTCTGGGCACCAGTTTCCTTGTACACAGTGTACTATCAAGTTTCAAGAGTACAGCTAAGCAACATTTCATCAAAAGTGTTACATTAAAAACAACAAAATCGGTATCCCCCATACAATCAGTGAGCTCCAGACTGCTTTATCTCACTTTAGTACTGAAGTGGGGGACAGGAAAGGGGAGCATTATCCCAAAGCAATTAACATCAATGGTAACTAATTACTTTGCTACCTCTTTCAACAAGTCAAAGGAGCTCATAATCCCAGCTGTCTGCACCACTTTTTCCACTTCTTGTTTCCATCTCTCTCCCTGTGCATCTACTTCTCCCAGTGCAAGCCCTCATTATTAACAAGGGACTTTCACAAGACAGGAAGACAAGCTCAGCTGTATTTCATCTCCTGTTTTCCTTGCCAGGTAAGAGAGCAAGCACTAGAACTGCCCACACACAGCTTTTCTCACAAAACTCTGTCCTCTGGAAATCTGCATTTCCTTTCTAACAAGGCAGGCCAAAGGAATAGTCTGCACTGCCCCTTATAAAGCAGGAGAAAAACGAACATTACTACAGAGCACAGTACACGTAGCTGCAGCTTATTTGTAGCCTTTCCACCCATATTTACAACACTGGGCACACATCTGATTAAGCCCCTCACTTTGAGCACCATTGGGTTACCAGACCAGAGTAAGCAGAATTTTAGACTCACCTTAGAGTTTCATTGAATCTGACTGTAGCAGCACAATGAAATATAATATTAATGCATTCTATAAATTCTTCCTTGATTGGTTCACTAAGATCCAGTTCAGGCTGTGTAAGTTCACTCTCAACTACTATTATTTTTTCTTTGAACTGTGGTTGCTCTTCTCTCAACCTGTCAAAGAGCTGTCAAAAATAACAGAACTGTAAACTCAGTGAAGGCATGAGAAACACTTAAGTGAAGAAAAAATCCCACATTCTTTGTCTATACCTCCTAATTTCTCAAGATCATCAGGAAGTTAGAACAGTGCATTAGCAATACCATAAGAACATGTTACAGACTTCTCATGAAGTAAACTATATTTTTTTCCAATATAAGGAAAGGGAACAGTCTACCCACTTCCCAAGCTTGATAATAGCTATTCAAATTCCTATAAAAGTCATAAAAGTCATGCTGGATTTTAGGTTTAGAAATCTTGCAGTCTTGGAGAACTTCCAGATTAAAAAAAAAAAAAAATATATAAAAAAACACTAACAAGAAATCGTTTCTCTGGCCAGTTAAAAGAAAAAAGGCATACCACATTAGAACATCTAATTAAGTTTTATCAAACTGGAGTTCAACAATTCCCTAGAAAAAAAAAATCACACCAAAATTATATTCCATCAAGAACCCTCCTCATAAACAGCTGGGTTCTAACCAGGTGTCTTAACACACAGATCAAAATTCTTGCCTCATCTTATTTACACTCATTACTATGCAAGTTTTCCTGAGCCACCCAGTACTGTGGGAATAAAACACAGAAATTGCAGAAGAGCAGACCCTTCTTTACTGTCCAGGGGCCAATATCTTGCAACTGCTTCAACACCAGTCAATTATACTGTATTAAAATCACAGCAGTACCTTCTCACCCCCCCAAGCATGCAGTTATACCAAATACAAATAGTCAAAAGGTATTTCCTTACAGAACGACCTTATTAATTTTAAACTATTAATTAAGTCACCTAAAGGTGCAGTTTCACAACACTTCAGGCAATATAAGTTTATATTTCTACCACAGGGACTGGTCCTTCTCCTAATTTCTTTATTTCTATTGCTTCTCTTCCACTGGCAAGAGCAAGAAGCCCCAGAGCTGTGTGAGCAGCTGCAGGTCCAGGTTTTTTTTTAGGGGTTTTTTTTTTTCAGCCCAAACATGAGCTAATGCAGCTTGCTGTGTGGCCACCTGAAGTAGCAGTGCTAATTCTGCAGTGAGGACATGGGACATCTCCACTTCTCCAGGCCTTGACTGGACACTTCATTGGACAAAGCTGCCAAAACAGCATTTAAAGCCTCTGCAACTCTTATGGGTACAGCAAACAGTTCTTACCTAAGGGCAGAAACTTTGAGTGATTTTGAAAAATAAGCCTGCTATGTTTTTGGTGGAATGATGGCACTTATCTCCAGGGAGCTGGAGCAATTGTCTGTTAACCATATTAATGTGTGAGATTGCATTATAACACAGAAACAAGACCAAGGATGAGCTCTTAGAAAGCCAGTTTTTATTTTTCATACATCCATCACATCTGTTATACCACTTTTCACATCCACACTCATGCACTATTCCCACACACCTCTCACCAGCACTGACACCAGTACTAAGGAGAAGAAATACCCAGACTGCATGCAATGCATATGGCAAATCAGCAGAGGAAACATATCTGAAGTCCAAACAAAGTAGAAACCTCAACACTGTTTTGCTATTTGTAGCTCAATTTATTTCACATTTATTTTATTTATTACTGCATTCACCCACTTAGATTTCAAACTCTTCAGGAAACACAGCATTCAAGCATCTGTAGAACACTTAATGAGTCCATCTAAATTGTGAAGAATTACTGGCAGTGCCCTTGCAATTAGACAGCTTAAGACAATAGATCCTATTAAAATCTTTATAGACTTTTGATGACATTAAAGCCATTTAAACAATGGACTTTCAATCTTGTCTAATCATGTGATGAAGCCAGAACAAATATCTGGTGCTGTTCTACATCTCTGCATAGATGAGCAACTCCATCCCTGCATGTTCCTGCCTCAAGCAAGAACTCTGCTCAACAAGATTTCTGCTGTGAACCTGCTGCAGCAATGAGTGCTCACCAAGACTCAAATCACATCAATTTTTATCTCAATGGGAGCTGGTACAGACTATAAGCAGATTTTGACTCAGATTTAAAAGCCTTTTACAACAGGTTTCCCAAAAGCCACACTGAGCCTTACAGCAAAGTTTAAGTCAGTCCACACCAGTGCTACTTCTCTCCCTACTCAAACACTCCCCCCCACTTTTCTTTGGGTAATAGTGTACACAGAAAGTGGATTGAGAAATTTTTCCTTTTTCATCTCAGAGCTTAGTCTGGGGACCTTTTCCTTGTTTGAGGGCAGTGACAAATGGAGGTTTTTATGTAGAGAGAATGTGCAACTGAATTTTGAGCTAGAACCCCACTGTAACTCATTCTGCTGTGTTTCATGACATTGCACAAGACTGCAGGAAGATGCTTTTGAAAAATGAGCTACAGTTTTGACTGGTTACAGAAAATAATTAACTAGGGAACAGCCACCCTCATATCTGCTATAAACCCAGCTAGTCAAGAGTCACAGAAATCCTTTACACTGCCTTACTCTAAACAACTCACCTCTAAGTTCATTCATAGTTCCTTATTGATTCCCTTTTAGCACCTTCTAAGAGCACACTTTGTACAAACTACATTGCATCTCAATGAAAAAATTTAACAGCTGACACCTGTGTTTCATAAGAGAAAGGCCTAGATGGAAATAACAAATTCTGCTTTAGCAAAGTTCCTGCTGGAAATCTCTCCTCATCCTGTTCATCCTTCTCGTTATGAACAGGATACTATCTAAGGACAAAGATGGGCGAGAGAGATGGATGATTTTACACTTAGTGAGAATGCCCAAGCTAGCTCATCAGAATTTCAAGGCAATGAGTCTCTTCAAGAGCAAAGTATTTGACCCAGCATGCACAGAAAATCAGTTAGAGAGCCACTCTGATGATTTCACAGCACAGACCTTCAGTGCCTTTCTACTTGTCACAGGCTGACCAAGACAAATCTATAACAATCTTCTAAGCCAAACATTTCTGTTCCACTTACAAATATAAGTTCCTGCTGAGATGACACATTCTTATTTACTGCTATCCAGTAGCACATTCCAGAAAAAAACAGAAGGCACAAGGTAAAAAGGTGACTTGCTTGAGATCTTAACAAGAGTCTCAATCCATCTTATAACTCCCAGTCCACTACCTCTTGTACTTGATTTGATGTCCTCTTAACAAGCTCTAACACAGGATTTTACTTCTCATTTCTGCATCACAGCTGAACATCCTCCTCCTGAATTAAATACAGGATGATTTCCTACTACTGGCTTTGCTAGAGACTAACAGCTTAAAGTAGCTATAGAATCACTGCCAAGCCTTAGATTTTTTTTATTTCTGTTAGAACAAAAAAAAAAAAATTAACATTTTGCTTTAGACAAACTGAAGCTGTTCTCAAAATGAAATGGGAACATCATAACGTTAATAACAAACTAATAACAAAAATGAACGTTGTGAGCATGTGACACATACCTTACAGCTGGTAATTTCTTCTATTCGTGCTTCAGGTGTCTGCCTTGCTTTTTTTCTTACCAGCACATACACTGCTTTCACTTTAGGACAGGATCTGAGCAGCTTTTCCAAAAGCACTTTTCCCACAAAGCCTGTAGCTCCTGTCAGGAGGATGTTTTTTCCTTCATAGTATTCAGGAATGGAAACCATTGTGACCTTGGCAAAAAATAAAAAACAAAAAGTATGTTAAGGAACTTACAGAATTCAGATTTGCAGAAGATTGAATAACCTACCAATGAAACTAAACCAGAGAGAAGGTTGAGTTAGTTGTTTGGAATGGGATCTGATGGTTTTACATTGATTACCAAAAAACCCATATAGATCCACAGACAAGAGTTTTCCAACTTCTTCATCCATTAAGTCATTTGGGAGGAAAAAAACCAAAAAATTTCAACAAACTAAGACTGAGTTAGCCACAAATACACCTCCTAATAAAAGGAAGGGTAAGGGACTATTACTCAAATTCAGCACAAAGCCAGAAAGTGGTTTAGGTTTTGCTCCAGTTACTAAGTTAACCTTGAGAATCATGATTCTTTCCCCTGCCTTCATCAGCCTCTTGGAAATGATGTCATTTTTGCTAAGAGAAATTGAAAGTCTCACTAAGGACAAATATGGTATGTCTCACCATAAAGTGAGAACATGATCTTTAGGATCTCTAGGACTCCATCACAGCACATCATCCAGAGCTGCCATTCTTTAAAGTCAGATATAGGAACAGCTTTATTACTGTGACCATGTTGAAACCCTTAAGCCTAGAAATTCTAAGTTTTCTGTGCTGTCAGGCACTAATCCTCAGAGGAACACTACTTTTGACTTGAAGCCTTAGAGAGGGCTTCCAAATTTGAGTAATAAGAGTCACTAATGTGTAGTTTAAATAAAAGTGTGTAATATCAGATAGTAAAGGGTTTGGAATTTAAGATTTTAAAATATAGCAATAGGTATAAGACAAGATAGAAGTTTTGGGGCTGAAGTTTTAGTTTCTTCTTCCTTCTTGTCCCTTCTTCTTCTTAGTTTTAAGTAGTATTTTTTATTTACATAAAAGGTACCATACTGCAAGTCACGAATGCTTAGTCATTAAGTCAAAAGTATAAATAATATAAATATTGACTTTTAATTAGATGATTTAGCTTTAAAAAAACCTTGTAACGAGCGAAATACAGCTTCATTTTTTGGCTTTTAACTTGTTAGCTAGTAGTGCTGTAGCACCCACTGTACTATACATAATAGTTAATAAACATGACCTCTAGTCTTTACTGTGACCCTTACTTTCACTAGATAACAATGGGGCATTATGGATACACTTCCAGCACATTTTACCAACCTTTCTAATCAGACTCATAAAAATCTTGAGCTAATTATAGTCCTCTACAGCAGTTCCACACAAGCAGCTACGACCAGCACACTCCCAAAAGGGACCACAGAGAGTCACAGAATGTCCTGAGCTGGAAGGGACCCACAGGCATCATCCAGCTCTGAAGTAAATGGCCCACAAGGGGACTGACCCCACAACCTTGGTGTTATCAGCATCGTGCTCTGACCAACTGAGCTCATCTCATTCCATAAAACCATGGTACCAAAAAAAAAAAAAAAATTCCAACAAAATAGAGAATCTTTAAACACAGATGGAACATTTCTTAGGCAAATAAGGATTCCAGCACTGAATACCTTAACAGGGTGAGATCCTTTTTTCACCTGCCACCCAAGAATAAAGGTGCAACTTCTAAATACACTCAGTTCTTTCGAGACAGCAAGATACTGCTGGGGACTTAAGCAAGGACTTACAGGGAATGCACAGAATGTTAGGAGTGAACAGCTCATTTGTCCTTTGTGCCTGAAAAGTAAGTGTGTGTTTTTGGAGCACCTATTTGTCAGATACCCACCATATCAAAGCAATTGTGCTCTGTTTTTCACGTGCTCATATCTCAACCGTCTCTGAACAATTTCCAAATGATTACCTGCTAGAAATGAGTTACTACCTGCACAAGTCCTGGTTTCACAAGTCTGGGTACCAAATGCTATGTCAGATAATCCAAATCCTTATTTGGACTCCCTTCTTTGAGAAGTGAAGCATCTAACAACTGATAGTATAGGATACAGCAGCAAGTTTAGAGCAGAACAAGCACTGCTATTTCCACTGACCATAGTACATCATCCAGAATTGTTTATTTGAAGGTCAAGAGGAAAAGCTATTTACATTAAACCACTTTCACCACACAGTTAAGAGACTCCAAAGCAAATTTGAAAGCACACCTCCTGCCATAAAGCATGGAGTGCAAGACACAGCATGCTTATGAGTCATTTTTCCCTGTTCAATTAAGACATGGGCCTGTTGTCTTTACCATGGCTCAAAGTCAAAATTAATGCTCTTCAGGCATGTCTTCCCCATAAATTTTGCTTTTCTGGTCTTTGTGTACACCATCCAATTCCACTTCTTCCTAAAGATCTGTATGATTGCTCCCACAAACAGGACAGGATTTTGGTTCCCTCAAAGAGGGAGGCAAAAACTCACACAACCATTACTGCAGCAATTTTGTCACTAAGACAAATTTTTTTCAGTTTTGTCATGGTTCCTACATAACCTTCTTACTAATTTACCTAACTAGCCATAATATCTAGTTTTTACACCTTGAGACTCTATGGGAGTATCTAATACTATGCATTCACCTGTTCTTCCCCAAAGAAAGGTTTAATCCTGCTTCTGACACAGTGCCACAACATCAGCCTGCAAACACACGGGCAGAGTGTGGCCATGTCCACACAGGAACCCTGGACAACACCCAGTACATGGCTATGGTCCAACATCTGCTTCTGAAAGCTAAAGCCATGAAAAGCTATGCTGCCAGTGGAAAGACTTGTGCTGCTCTAATTCAGCTTTTCAAGTGACTGCAAAATCTGATGATATTTAGGCTTCTGTGATGTAAAGAAAACTGGAACAAAATAGCTCAAACTTTCCTGCCTCAGTCCTTTCTGATCATATTCCTTTGTTTAAGAGGCTGAAATCAGAATACCAGATCTACAAAACGTCGACATGCAGAACTATGATGAACCATAATGATGAAATGGGTTCAATTAAAAGCCAGGAACATCCATAAATACTCATATTCACACTTGGGAGGCAGCAACACTTACACGTTTGCAGGCTAATATTTTTTTTTGTTGTTGTTAAAGGATTTAGAAATGCTTCCTTTAAGAAACTCTCAATCCCATTTCTCTTTACCCTGTTCTCCAACAACCAAGCTTTGGCAGACCTTATTCATAGCAACTTGCCACACTGAGACTGTTCCATTACTCTGGAAGATTCGAGCTAGGAAACATAATTGGTGACTTTTTCAGAAGTACACATTGCTGTCAACATTACACCAACAAACACAGGGATTGTGAGGGAACTGCCTAAAAGCACCAAATTGGATTTAAAGGGTAAAAACCATGTATGGAATCTAGGTGTGAACGATCAAAGTCTGAAACCAGCAGCCTATGCTTTGCTCTGTTAGAAAGGTTTCTCAAGCACAGGGAAAGGAAAGAATGTTCCCATTCTCCACCTACCTACCCTTCCCTGCCTTCTCCAAGAATGCATCTCCACATGCCAGTTAGCACAGCCCTGCTGGCAACTAACTGCTCATCTCAAACTCAGAAGGGTCTTACCTCACAGGTATCGTATATTATTTTTTAAAGTTCTTTGTGGCAGCAAATTACTGAAGAATCACAGAATCATAGAATTGTTAGGGTTGGAAGAATTATTTTATAACTCTCTTTTTAAATAAAACTATGAAGAAATACATGTAGTTCCTATCAGAAATTTAGTTTGGTCTCTAACACATAACAAGCTGGTGCAGGTGCAAAAAAAAAAATCTACCTTGCAAGACACCACGGCAAAACCCAATTTAACATTTTAAGGTTGTTAAGTGCCAGCAATTACTTTATCTATCTGTTTTAGAGTACATCTTGTATGTTTACAATAGCTGTTAACAAGCAATCCATACTGTCACCAGTTTTCCAATCATTTTTTAACAGCCACCTCTTCAAACACACACAGCCAACTCCTACCAAACACAAAGTTGTCTAATGCACACTGTGGAATATCTAAAACCCTGTATCACAGATTTTTTTCAGCTAATGAGCAGTAACAGTCTAGAATAAAGAAATCTGAAGGGCTTACTAAGAGTTCTATAAAGAATTCTCGCTCTGGAACAGAAATAACCAAAATTCCCACATTACCCATGGTATAAACAGCCTTTGCTAGAGGAATCTTACGTGAAGCTGCTACAGAGCAACTGCTGCAGGGATCCTTCTCAATTCACAGCTTCAGGGCTAAGCCCACGGTGACACTTTGTACATATGCTTGTGTGAAGGGTGCTGTCCTCTGATAAATCAAGAGTTCATAAGCACTCCAGGAAAAAAAAGAAAAACCACCAGCAAAGCAACACTGCAGGATGCTAGCCAACATTCCCCATCTTGTAAAAAATTCTCATGTCCAAGGCTGAGCAAGTGCTATTATGGAGCAAACAACAGCAGCTCTGTTTGCCTCCAGAGCTACTGCAGCAATATTTAACTCACAGCTTCAGAGGGCTCTGACTCCCAAAACAAGGACAATTCTGTCTTTAACAGGAAAATGATCAGTTCCCAGATTTGTCCAAACACAGATCAAGATGCTTAAAGATGTGCTTTCCAAGTGCCAGGAAAGCCTGCTGCAGTTCCACTGAATGTCTAAATGCTAAATCCAGCAACTAGAGTGTGCATGTGTGTCCTTGCTAGAGATTAAATGCTCTGTCTTCTAGTTTATCACTGACAAACATTAGGTCAACAGCATGCTCCCTCCAAATTCAATCCTATCAAGATTATTGCTCACAGGAAATAGAAAACGTGCATTTCCCAATCTCTCAAACATCAGCAACAAGCCACAAAGTTCTGCAAAAACAACAACCCAACAAATCAATTTCCCCCTTCCCTCTGACAGCTTGAACCCAGCAGTAGCAGGAGTAAAAAGCAGAAAAAGTAAGGTGGTAGGAGCATTTTGTTTATGTATATTCAAAGATGAAATTCACCCAGATATCAAATCTGAGTGCACCAAGAATTTTTAAACACCACAAACACACCCCAGTGCATCCACACCAGACAAAAATCATTACAGAAATCCCTCATATAGAGCTCCAATTGCCACACTGTAAGCCAAAAAAAAAAAAAATAAAATCTCTGGGAACTGGAGAAATTGGAGAGACTCAGGCAACAAAGGAAGTAATATTTAACTCATCCAAACAAGGTTACTGCCAGAAAGACAAGTCTGGGTCATGTCATATCATATTGTATCATCATGTCTCATTTCATCTGTGCCTTGTTTCCACAAAAGTAAATCAATGAATGCTATCAGCAGAATGCC